AAAACCCTCCGGTTGTCACTGAGGTGGGGACAGGTAGTCCAGGCTTTGAGGAGTGAGGAATGGGATCTACTGCTTTGTAAACAGACTTTTCCCAGACCTCCTGAAAGGATTCGCAGTTGAATGGAGAGAGGGGACATAAATGTAAATAATTGACTGTAAGGACCTGCCAAAGGTATTTAAAATGACAAGGAAGCCCAGAAGGAGTTCATTGAGAACTGAAGAGTAGGGGGAAGTGTCCAGAGAAACAAATTTGCTTGGGCACAGGAGGAAAGCAGGGCCTCCCCTGCCCAGCACAGGCCAGGACGTGCCAGACGCATTCGGGGCCAGGCAGGGAGGACCACGCTGGGCGCCGTTGTGGGGAGAGTGTGGGGGCCCCCATCTTCCCAGAAGCCATCTGGTCTGTCACCTGTACCCCTAACCAGTCCCTCTGATTTTGTTCAAGACCTGTTACTATCTGGTGGTCCACACACTTCTGGTCCTGCGGCCTGGCCTGCCCAGTCCAGTCTGACTGGTTACTGTGCTCCTGCTGGCTCACCCCACCCACCCTGCCTCCGCCCTCACCTCCCAGCTCCCCGTTTGTTTCGGAGTCCCCCCATGACCCCCTTCCACCTCTCCCCCAGCAATGCAGGCGTCTGGCTGTCACTGGCAGGCTTACCGGATAAAATACAGGGCACAGTTTCATTTGAATTTCACATAAACAGTGAGTCAGTTTGGGTGTAGGTATGTCCCTAATATTGCAATACTTGGGACAAATATAAGCATCCCAAATACTTGTGCTAAAAAAAAGAAAAAAAAGGTCCCCTTCCAGGCCGGCTGCCTGCAGGTGGAGTCCTCTGCTCCTGCTGGAGGTCTGGGGTTTCCCTGAGGAAGACGCTGGCCACACACAGACAAATCCAGCTTTACTGGGGATAAAACCATGTGCTTCTCCGTCCATCTGACCCTCCTGTCTCTTTCCCAATTTCTCCAGAGTAAGGAAGGAGCAGGGGCCGGGTCATGACCCTCAAAACTCTAACCGTAACCCCTGAGGCTGTTGGGGTGCTGGCCCCAGGACATACCCAGAGGCCCTGTTAAAGCACTGCGCTGTGTAGCACCCAGGAGGGGCTGCCCTGCTGGGCCCCGGTCAAGGGTCCATGTGGTTGCTGCTAGGTGTCCCTCTGGCTGCCCGTCCAGCAGCTCCGTCAGCCCTGTGGCTTCTGTGCTACATCTGTGACTTGGGACCTTTTTTGAGATGCCCCTACCCAGGGTCTTGGGGTCTCCTGAGTGTGGCCTGGGATAGGGCTTGCTGGACAGAACCCCTCCGAGCTTCTCCAGCCCCGAGGGACTGCCCCCTCTCTGCTTCCTTCTGCCTCGGGTTCCACTCACTGAGAGCATAAGCCTAAGAGGGAAACGTTTTTAAAAATATATATGTTTTTATTGATTTCAGAGAGAGAAGAAGGGAGAGGGAGAGAGAGATAGAAACATCAATGATGAGAGTCATTGGATGAGCTGCCTCCTGCACGCCCCTGACTGGGGATCGAGCCCACAGCCCAGGCATGGGAATCAAACCTCCATCTCCTGGAACCACATGGAGAAACTTTCCAACATTCCCCATGGCACTTACATTCCAATTCAAGTGTTTCACAAGTCTCTTAGCCACTGCATATGTTGACCCCTGTTGCTATGGACTGAACTGTGGTCCCCAATTCAGATGACGAAGCCCTGAACCTAGTGTGGCTGTATCTAGAGATGTAGCCTTTGGGAAGTAATTAAGGCTGGATGGGGTAACAAGGGTGGGGCCCTGGCTGATGGGGTTAGTGCCCTTATGAGAAGAGACACCAGAGAGCTTGCACTTTCCATACAAAGAAGAGGCCTTGTGAACACACAGCAAGACGGCAGCCTCCTAGCCTGTGGTGACACTGGTTTTGTTACACGTTGTATCACCTGAAGTCGCCGTTTCCAGGAACCTCCTATGCCAGATGAGGACTGACTGCATCTCTGTGGAACGTGTCCTTGTTTGAGGCAACCTGGATTAAAGAGTCACAGGACTGGCCAGCAAAACCCCTTCCAGGGTTTTCCTTTAACAGCCGCAGCTGTTAGTGTCACTGTTGCACTTTAATTTAGAAGTCAGTGTCGAAGTTTAACACGTGTGAGAAGCTGAAAAATGTGAGTGGCGGGAGCTGGGCTTTGTTTTTCCAAACATGTTTCCAAAAGATTGTTTTATTTAAAACACACACAGAGTTGGATACAAATGCCTTTTAAATCGTTGTGGTGGAGACGGTCACACTGATTGCTATAATCGTCATCTCCTCCTCTCCCGAGCCCACAGTCTCAGTCTTGCGAAGCAGGAGGAAGGAGGGTCTCGTCCTTCACGCCTGTTGGCTGTAATGAGTCCTTGGACGACAGTAATTACATGACCAAAAGTCCCACAGCTGTTCGGCAATTATTAAAGTTTCGCAGTTGCTGGTTTTCCTACTGGCATCTTACAACCTGAGGAAGAACGAGACAGCTCATGACGTGACACTGAGTTTACTCTCTCTTGTGATGTTTCAGCCACTGGCAGAGAGAAACAGCTGACACGGGGCAGTTTTACAGGCGGACGGACAAGCACCAGTGGACACCGGCCTCTCTGCAGAAGCAGCAGTATCCCAGTGATGGGCACAGCCAAGCACCCTGAGCCAGGAAGAGGCAGGATGTGAACCCAGCCACATTTTCCGAACTCCGAGGCCACTATGTGCTCACCCACCCTATTGTGGCTTCTGTCGCTAAGAAATCAATGCCATCATCCTCACAGAATGAGGTTTGAGCTATTTGCCCCTTACCAAATTCAAAACTGAGTTTCAAGGTTCCATATTCTGAGTTTTCAGTTTCACTTCCCTGATCTATGCCAACAACTCCTCTGCCCTCTGCCCTTTCCTACACCCACTCTCCCCTAACCAACCACATGCCATCCTGGCCTTCCTGTCATCCCAACAGACTTCAACCTAAAGCTCTTCCACGCAGGTTTGACAAAGGTATTACATCAGGAGCAGGTACAAAACTATAACCGGTAAGAACACTACTCAGTGATCAGGGCTTTGTTCACTAGAATCATTTTTTTTCAAATGCCCCTTTACAAATTATCCCGTCATTCCTACGAGAAGTGTTCTCTGCCTCCTCTGACCTTTTATCTCTGTTTATATCACACTCTTGACTCTTACTGGAGCCCATAAACACGCTCCCACCTTCCTGGGCTGGACTATTTCTTTGAAAGCTGACAGGATCTGGAGAAGAGCAAGGGCTGGATTACTCTCCAAGGGTGAACTATCTGCTGCCAGCTCTGAGCTCAGGAAGTGTAGTGTCGGTAATGTGGATACTGACCCCATCCCTCACCTGGGAAAGAAGGGACCAAAGTGCCGAGAGAGTGACTCAAAGGACCATAGGAGAGGTACGTGCTTGACACCCAATACCAGGCGTGAAGGGTCTGGATCTTGGACCCTGAGTGTCGAACCTGGGAGCCAATCGTCTGTCGTCTAAGGCTGCCTACTTTAGGCATGTGGGGTTTTCTCTGGCCACTTTCCTTGCACTTTCTCCTTAGTTTCCTTGAGAACATTCTAGATGACACAATAGTTCTCTTTTTACATTAAAACTCTATTGTTGTCCACTCTGATGCGTATTTGGTGCCACAGCACTTTCCCGTTTTACTGCATGTTGACAAACACCACGTGAAAACCAATCGGGCTTTACGGATCTGTACTCACCAAGCATTTCTTCTAAAGTTGCTGTGGCGGGTTCATTCACATGAAATACATAGTCATTATTTCTAGGAGAAAAAGGAACAGGCTTGTTACTGCACAAAGCAGGGGGCAGACCACCTTCACCATTTACGTGAGGCGCCTTTAAATGGTTTCCCTTCAGGACCCACCTGCTCCTTCCTGTCCCACTTGCTGGCTTTTTGCCTCACTCCTCTGGCCACCTACGAGCCGCGCCGGGCGAGCTGACCCACTAAGCTCTCTCTTTCTCACATTCGCTCATGCAGAAGAGTCGGTATCCAACTACACATACACGTGTGCTTACGTACTGCACATGTGCGCATACATAAGCACACACACACTACACGCCCCCAAATCTTTCCTGCAATTCATCAATTTCAACATTGGGCCAAAGCCACATGCTGGCCACAAGCCCCTTCTTCCTCTGCTTCCACATCATTTTATTCTGAGCCACGTGACGTTTGCAGGGTGACTCATCCTGACGTAACTAGCTGGGGTGGTGGTGAGCGCAGTACAGTAGGTGCTGACTCGACCATGAGTTTCTGAGTCTGCGGGACTTGCTCACTGTTACCGGCTGCCACACCCGCGGGCACCCAGGCGTCGCATGGTGTCTCGCAGGTACTCACTCCTTCCTCTTCTCCACCGTGCCCAGCCTCACCATCGCTGCCAGGGCATTTTTCTGTACTTCAGAAGATAACACATCGTAACACTGCGAGGCACCTAAAGCAGAGGTGGAGGGGTCAGTGGAGCACTTTTGTTCTCAACTAACGGCCATCCCCACCCCCGAGGCGTGACTGACCTTGATCGAGGAGCTGACCTGTGAACGCCCTGACTCCAGCCAAGTACTGCTTCTCAGTGAAGAGGTCTTCTTCCCTCAGGAGGTATTTGCAAATTATCTGATTTTAAGAAGACAAGGCAGAGCTGAAAAGGGCAGTCAGTACAACACAGCGGCAGGTAATTCTATAATGTCCACTTCAGAGAACCATACACTTGTGAGAGCAAGGGTCCAAGCCCAGAAAGGCTATGGAATTTTTAAGAGCTCTACTGAGCTTATAACACTGTTTACAATTAGAAACAAGTATGCAATAGTATTGACATTTATAAAAATATAATTTCCCACTTTAATGGTTACAAGTGAAATGAATTGCAATCAGCTTAATTCATCTTGTGCTGCTTAGGAAGAGAGGGACCAGATTTTCTGTAACTTAATTCTTTCTCTAAAAAGACTTAATAACATGCTAGATCTTAAAATACTTGATGATTTCTACTAAGAAAGGTGCCTAACGGTAGAGATAGTATTTATCCAATACCTACTAAGGGCAGGGCTGGCACGGGCCCCCTCACTGACCACAGCACTGCTTGGCCAGGAAGTTGGTCCCGGTGCCCTTCTCCGGTGTGGAGCTGAGAGCTGAGTTCTCTTCTCCCAAATGTGTGTGAGGCCCTTACGGTTTCCACCTCAAACAACCTTCTCCCTCTGAATGGGGCACGACTCCTGCTGGCAAACCCACCATCCCCTCTCCTTACTCACTCAGAGTCGGACACACTTGTGGATACTTCCACTTGAACTTCTTTCCCTTCCACTGACTTTATGTATCACTCAAATCTTGCAATTATTAAGTGCCTACTATGTGTCAAACACCTTGCTACATACTCTGAACAAACACTATAAGGTAATAACAATGCTTGGGTATAACTGTGGTCACAGGAATACTGTGCTCACGGTGTCATTAAGCTGTCAAGTTCCTGGGTCTGTAATGCACCAAGCCCCCTCCTGCATGCAGGGAGCACCGTCTCGCCTGACAGGTGAAATCACTCACCCAGTAATCAGTCTCTCTAGTTCTACCATCCACCTGGGGAAGATTCTTGCCCATCAGGCCAGAAATAAGTACAGGGTGGAAATCTTAGTTATATTTGACATGGAAGGATAACAGAGACCTTGTGAAAGATTTACATACCTGGTAACTTTCCACAAAAGGTTTAAAGAGTCCTATTAAAAATTCTAACACAGTATTTCCTTTCTCTGTAACTAGGATGTCCCTTGCTGTCATCTGAATGGTCTCACTTTTACAAAGCAGGTAACAGCCTTCTTCAAAGTCCTGGAAGGGGTGGGGAGAAGGCAGAATGGATCCACTATGTTAGTACATAGCTGAGCTCAGTGTGTACAGTGAGGTGCCACAGAACAAGAGAACCCCAACTCTCACAACCTTCCCAGAGGGTCTGGCTGTTACATGGTAGCAAAGAAAGCATTTGTTCTAACATTCAGAGCTGAACTTCACACATAGCAAACACAACCATTTGTAAGCTGAGGAGTCACAACCTGGGTGACGGATTTTCTTTCCCTTTGCACAGTCACACTCCTTAAACAGGCAGCGCATATAGCAAGTCCTAAAATTCTTAGATTTATGCTCAAAAGCTGTGGCACCCTGCCTCTTTCTCTAGTGTCTAACACCTACACAGTGTACAAAAGCTGACCCCTGCTGTCTGTCCCGGCCTCTCCCCACCCCAGCGCCCTAGCTCCCCAGCAGTCCAGCTCCAGGAGCCAATCCCTCATCAGCTGTCTGCAGCGCCAGGCAAGAGCACACTGTCTACTCTTAAAGCAAAAGGCCCCACTCGTTCCAACAGTTGCTAATAGGAAAATGTGTGCTGGCTGGTAAATTTTTAGCAAAATAGAGTTGAGTTGATTTATTTGCAGTGGCTGCAGTAACGGTTCAAAAAATGACCCTTTTCTTACCAAATAATCCCTAAATTATTGATAAAATTTAACCAAAAGTCAAACTCGAGTTTGCTGAAATGTGAGTGTTCCAGTTCCCCTTAAGCCTGCTGCACGTTGCCCAAAGGGAGGACACATCTGGGCACCGATGCTGGACATTCCCAGAACTCACTCTGCAGATACGCTTCTCCCTGGCTGCTAGGATTTACCTTCACTGTGTTTCCTGGAAGGAAGATGAACTCATCAAACAAAACATCGTGTAGGAAGCGAAAGCAACTGTAGACATCCTCTGGAAACAAATTCATTACAGAAAATTACAACATTGGTTTTTAAACTTTCAGGGAGAAGCAAGAAGTCCACAATGTTCCAGAAATGCAGTCCTTCAAAGGCATGCCATTCATCCATCAAGGATTAGAGTTAAGACCCCCAATGAAAGCTATAACCAACCCAAATTTTATATACAGGGCCAGCTACAGTCTAGCACTGTGTTTTAAATATGTTTTTATTGATTTCGGAGAGCGGAAGGGAGAGGGAGAGATAGAAACATCAATGATGAGAAAGAGTCACTGATTGGCTGCCTCCTGCACGCCCCACACTAGGGATCAAGCCCGCAACCCGGACATGTGCCCTGACCGGGAATCCAACCGTGACCTCTAGGTTCATGGGTCGATGCTCAAAACACTGAGCCACAACAGCTGGGCTAGTCTCACAGTTTTAATGGTTGAATCTAAATGACAACCAAGCCTCTCATCTGTCAGTCTGGACTGAGCAAGACACTACACTCCTTAGAAACTAGGGAGCTCCCCTTTCCCTTCCCAGGCCCCCCAGCAGAGCAGAGACAGGCTGCTTCATCTATTCCGGATTCCTGTTTCCAACCTCCTGACGTCTTTCGCACTAGAACGCGGGAGCATACAACCGAAGGTCCTCTCTCATTCCCTGATGTGTAGGCTACCTGCCTGCCAACCACAGAGGCCCCCTTGTCCTCCTGACACGTGCTGTGAACTTTCTCCTTAGAAACACATACAGATGGATGTCAAATGTTGCCTCTGTTTCAGGGCATTCAGTTGTGGATGAATTCTGATGTAGAAAACCTCAGAGTGGAAATCAAGATTTAAGTTTTCTGTGGGCTAAACTGGGTCATCTGAGCTCTCTGGGCCCATTTCCTCCATAACCAAATGAGGGCATGGACACAGGATGTCTAAGGTTCCTCTCAAGGCTAAAGATCTGGCTGAGCCATGCTTTCCACTCTTTTTCTTGGAATTACCTACAGAGCTCTGAAAACCAACCATCTAGCCCACACTCCAGGCCACTGACCCAGAACTTTCAGGGATGGGGCTCAGCCTCCAGTAACTGTAAAGTGCAGCCTGGGTAGGAAACCTCGGCCTTGATGAGAGGCTCCTGTGAACAGAAACTGCTCATCGGCACACTCCTCACCGCAGCCAGGACGCTGCTGCGTGTTGGCCCACCTGTCCGCCTGTCAGATGACGGAGTTGTCAGAGCATAAAAGAGCATCAGGCCTGGAAATGGAAAACTGGGCTCTAGTTCCAGATTGTTCCCTAACCTAACTTCCGAGTGCACAGGCCTGGCCTTGCTGATATGTGGGCTGCACACATGTGGCTGAGCAAGGCTCCAATGTTGCTCCCGACCAGGAACTGAATGGCCAGGTATCTTCAATGATTCAAGGCCAGATTCCCCAGAGTTACCTTTTCTGACCCCGTGAGCCATCTGCAGTGCCAGAGCCACTAAGGAGGGCCGGACAAAAACGTTGAGCAGCTGGTTTCTGTAAGCTGAGCATGCGAGGAGGGTGATGTGCTGGTATATGAGGCCGTCGACTACTTCTGAGTCTCTGGCGTCCACTTTCAGGACCACCTGGTCTTTGACAAGGCTGGCTATGTTAGAGTGCAGCAGGATGCTGGACTGGATCACCTCCTCAGCGGCTTCATTATCTACACACAAGACAACTCATTCAGGCAAATGGCAAAAAAGGGGCTGGGTCACCACTGGGACTCTTAGGCCTACGAGGCACCAGTGCTGTGACCTGACCTACTGATTCAAATGCCAGGACTGGCTTTAGGTTCTACCAGCTGAGCTAATGACATCACATGTGAAGGGCATTTTCTCTATTTCAAAACCCGAACTCTCTCTCTAAGGACATGTAACACATCCTCCCCAAATCTGTCAGCTGCACATCAAATGCACTCTGAAAACCAATTACTTCCTCAGGAACCAAGGTACCCAGAGTTCCGTGAGAGCTTCCAGTTACATGATCAGAACATCACCTATATGTGAATTTAACAACAGTAAGATAAGAAGGCCCATAAGTATATATTAAAACATGCTTCACACACGTGTACACACACACACACACCTTGCTTAGATCAATTCTAAGATGGCAAGAAAATCGCTCTGCAACTTTGCAGGTGAACAAAAGGGCCTCCCAGAGCAGAGGGGTGCTGAGGGGATTTTCTGGGTTTCCTACATCAAAGGTAACTAAACAGTTACCACAACAGTTCCTGTAACTCGCCAGCAGGCACTACACTGGCCTGGAGATAACCGAGTTAGGGTTACCGAAACATAATGAGGAGGTGTTGGTATTTAACAAATCTTCTTGGCAAGGGAAATTATTCCACTGTTAGCCTGAGCCAAAGAGCTGGTTGAGGCAGGTAAGCAGGCACCTGCCTAAGCTGGGCCACAGGTTCTGCATATGCCTCATGGCAAGGACAGTGAGAGCAGTGGTTCTCCTTCTGGACTCCCCCACACTTGATCTGGATGCCCTCACACTCAGTCTGGACACCTCCACACTCAGTCTGAACCAAAGCTCAGGTGGCTTATGGTGATGACACAGGCACAATAATATAGGGTGGGGCAAAAGTGGGTTTACAGTTGTTCGTATGGGAAATAATACAAGAATACAAGAATAAACAATACAATAAAACAGTAATACAAGAATAAACTCTGTTTTGAGTACTCGCAACTGCAAACCTACTTTTGCCCCACCCTGTATTATGTATAATAGATTTCATGTATATAATATGATACGATATTATATAATGACATATATCATAAAAAGCTCTAGATATGAGAGTTTAGGAATATGGGATAATCTGAGTAAAAAGAAAAAATCCTGCATCTACATAATTCTAAATTAGAAATGATGATCATTCCCTCCACACTCTTCCTGTACTTAGATACCAATGGACTCTTGCTTTATAGTAACTGGAGTTATTTTAGTGGCTGAACAGATACTCTTAGCTATGGACTGGCCGCATATTTATCCCATCTTGAAAAAACAAAATGACTTAGAAAAATAGGCGTCCATGGTTTCCCATGGTCGTGGGCCAAACTGATATGAGATTAGCACTTTACCTCTGCCGCTCATGCCTGTCTGCCTGTGATACAGCCACATGCCCTCGGCCTCCTGTGAGACCATTAAACACTGAGAACAGGTGTCTACTTATCTTTATTCCCCTACTGGTGACCGACACTCAACTGATGGCCATTTCGGTAACTAATTCCCCCTAAACGTCTCTTAGCTCCACCCAGCTATGAACGGCCCTGGTCCAGGCTTCTTTGCCCCTCATCTGGCAGAGCAGCCTCCCAGCCCACACTCTCTCCCCACTGTGGTCACCCTGAAACTGGTACCAGCTGGCTTTCTAAAGGCCAGTTTGTGATCCTTCCCTGCTTAAAATCCGTGATTGCCCCATGTAACCTACACATGTAGTGCAGACCCCACGGCACGCAGGCTGGTAGGCCCAGCTGCTGTCCTCCTCCTACGTCCCATACCCAGAGCCAGCATCCCAACCCTATAACCCCCTGCAGGCCAAGGGGTCCCAGGTGCTGTCAGGCCATTTCAATGTCCTAATCCTGTGCTAGCAACGCCCCCCTCCCACTGTCTTCTTGAAAGGCTCCTATTTTCCATCAAGCCTGATTCAGAAGTCTCTTCTATGAAATCTTGCCTGAGTGTGGGCCCTCCCTCTGCAGGTTCTCAGCCACGCTCCGAGCCTGTCTGTAGCTTGTAACTGTTTCACTGGACGTCTTTACAGGTTTGCTGGTCACCCATCCTGCTCTCTACAAACCAGAACCTTCAAAACAGGGGCTGCACCTTGCTCATCTCTGCATCCCTGACAGTACCAGCACCAACCAGGTGTCCAACACAGTTTCATGAGTGAACAGCAGGTGCCTGACTCCAAATAATTGCCTGGTCTTAAAGGGCTGTATTTCCCACTGCAGTCTCTACAATGTTAAATCAGAGAGACTGAAAACAACTCAGGATAATTACTGTCATATACACCCAACTCCCAGCAGCACAGTGTTCACAACTCCAATGTTTAGAGGTGTTATTAACACAACCCAGTCAGGAAAATGGGTTGCAAACACAATGTGGTTTAAAAGAGCTGTGTATAGAGGGACGGATTCTATGTGGAGTCAAAAAAGATCCACCATTTACTCTCCACTCTGCTAGGTGCCAAGATGGTATTCTAGTCCTCAGGATAGTCTCGGAGGGAGAAACAAACATGTACAATTCTCACATAACCAAAGTCCTATAGCAATAAAAACAGACTGGGTTTTCTTTCCCTCTCTGAACAATGCTTTGCTCCAAGTCCTATGTAGGTTTTCATATCCAGGCTACAACTTTTCGAAATGAAGAAATAAAAAGCTAGTATTCTCATTGTGTATGCTCCACATACACACCGGACCACGTGAGGAAGCCCCCGAAGGTCTGTGTTAAGCCTTTCAGCCACAACGTTTTCTCCACCAGTGCGTCAAAGTCCATGGATGGCCGGTGCTGGAGCAGCACGGCCACAACGAGGACCCATGGGCTCAGCACCAGGTTCTGAATCTGGAGAAGCTGCATTTTGTGGGCAACCTCGACGACGAAGGCGTGCATGTCCTCCGACTGCTTCTGAGGGATGTATCTGAAAGGAGAGCACGGGACAAGTTACAGTTCTACCACGACAAGTGCGCAGGGAGAGGGGATGGGAGAAGACAGGCCCTGGAAGGGTTCTCAGACTTTCTGCCAACCAAGCTCTCCCAGGTCATCTTGTAGGAAGCCGACTTTTGCTTTATTCTGTCCATATGCCTCTAGGTAGGCTGACAGGTGATAAAAATACCCAAGGGAATAGGGTCCTATTATTTCTGGTTCCAGGCAAAAAAACTTGTGCTGCTTTACAATAGGCTAAATCACCTCTGTGGAAGCAGATGCCTCTGGAGTAGAATGAACGACTGTCCTCTCCAAACCCACAGGACTTAGCGCATCTCTCCTAAAGAACACACGTATCAGATGACTATACATGTCTGCACTCGACAGGCTGTCCTGTCTGACTGACTGCCATTCTGTCCTTCTGAGAAGCTTCAGGGCACTTGCCAAGTACTGCACAACCCTTGCCTGACAGATCCCTCAAGCATGGATCACCAAATTGAATCAGATGACACTGGGAACCTACACAGAGCTGGCTGGAGCCAGAATATACATCTGACCTAAAAGCAAGCCTTGTGATAAGGTGGCTTAATGTGAGAGCTGTAGCCAATGAGGGCACCCTGTTCTAGCTAATGACCCAACCTGAGACCTATAGAGAGGCCTGTGACAACAACAGCTGACATCTGCTCTGATAACTAACGAAGCTGCCAGCGAGGCACCCTAGCTGCTGTGGGGCTGTTGGGGGTACAGATAAATCATGAATGACACTGCAGTCATGTGCTGCAGGGCCCAGCAGATGCTTTCTGTCTCCTTTGCTTCCCAGGTGTGTTTCTCTGAATTAAGAAAACCTAAATGTGCATCCTACCTGCATCCCCAAAGAAGCAATTTCATGTCCTTGCCCTTAAAGCTATATCCTTCTTAAGAACAGAAATGCACTCCTGCTCATTATCAGCACTGTCCTGTTCACTGTTACACCCACTCGCTCCCGCTCATTATTACACAGTCCTTTCCGGGATCCCAAGTGACACTTAGCACATGCTCTGGCTGGCCTACCATTTCCGTGCATTCACTTTTAATAATGCTGTCCTTCCACTGTTAAGTTAGTTGGGAACTGGATCCCCTGAGAATGAACACTGCCCGACTTTGCGTATTTGACATACACATCCTGTAGCTAATTGTTCTGGGCAAATATGTAATTCTTCTTTAACTGAGGCTTTCCACTTCCCCAATGTGTGATCTCAAATAACCCAGTTCCAGTCCTAGAAACAGTCAAGAATCACAATTTACACCTCCAGTTTTTATCCCTGTTTCTAAATCTGTTACAAAAACACCAGCCTTGCACCTTGGGACCAAGTTGTATGGGCTTCGGCTCAGCCTCCCAGCTGCCAGAGATCGAAGCGATACAGGGTCTCCAAAGTATACGTGGATGCTGCCAAAATTTTCAGAGAGAATCCTCCTGGCTTTCAGTAATCCCTAACAGTATCGCAACAGGGGAAAAGAAAACAGAAAGAAGTAAATTAGGAAATTAGTTGGTTTGCAAACGAGCATTTCCTCTAAAGTCCAACAAATCGGGTTTGGCCATCCTTTACATACAGTTGTAGATTCCTTTGGCTTGGGAACCCCTAGAAGCTCATACACATAAAGAGTTTCTTCCAATATCTTATCATAACTGATGCTGATTGGAACAAGGTAGGTGTCAAACACTTCCCTTTTGAAAAATGGCTCCATCACAATATTCAGAAGACCTGTAAACAAAGGGAGAAACGGTTTTTCACAAATATCAGAGAGTCTGAGAACAAGAACACATACACAGGGAGATACTACAAGTGTGCATGACAGACTAAGCAGGCCCATAAATATAAACAGTTAAGCTTAAACAGTTACACTTATAAAAAAACCAACAGCTTGCAAACAGTGTCAAGTTCTATTCAGCAGCTGTAATGACACCACCCCTAAAGCCTTGGGTTTGTGTTTCTCCTCCAGCCCGTAGCTGACCTACCAAATTTAGGAGTCAATGTCTTGGCAGAGCGGCTTCTTGTCCCTTCGAGGAAAAATTCAACAGGAGCATAACCATTCTTTAAAGAGAAAACACAAACAAACAAAACAAAACACAAAACCCATTGCCTGCGCTCAAAGGGTAAATGCTTCTTTTGATTCCTCCCCCAGCTCCCACCCAGCCCTCTGAACAAACACTGCTCACAGGGAACCCCACAGGAGTCACGTACACAGACTGCTGAGTTCTGCACATTCCTTCAGGGGAAACAGTCAGCTAAGAGGCCCACTCAGATGGTAAGAATTTAAATCAGGTCTTGCAGCAAACTTCAGTGAAAAGAAAATATGGCTGGCAAGTACTTGGCAATTATCTGCACTTACCCGCAACATGGTTTTCACGTATTCGGAGAACACAGCCCAGTAGAGTCTGTTGCCGCCGAAGGTGCGCCGCATGAAGAAGGCGCCCGACATGCGCAGCAGCTCCCCAATCATTTTCATTCCCAGGAAGTCTAAACATAAAGAAGGGTTAATGTTGACTTGCAAAGCCTAAAACTTTCTATAAAGATCTAAACTCAAACTCTATCAAGAAAGATTTCAGGTCTGTAAGACACCCCTGTGATATTAATGATTATACTTTCTGAGAATAAAATCCCCAAGAGGAGACATCTAATAGAATTATGGAAAAGAAGGGACTCTGTGAGCAAGTGCTCACTGGGAGGTTACCTGGTGTCCTCCGTGCACCTCTGCATTTACAACCAGATGAGCTAGAGACAGAGGGCAATAGCAGGCAATGTGACAACTGTAACAATGTCATCAGGCTGACTTCTTCAGTCAGCACCGCTGCTGAACTTGACAGACCAACATGTGTCCATCAGACAACTCTCACCTTTTCTTCTGACCCATCAGGTAAAACATCCACCTTCTTTGAGTGGCACAGATTTAATGAATCAGGCCCAAAATAAGAGGAGGAGTTCCATCATCAGGTTACAGTAGATCTTTCCATTTTCCCTAATTTTCAAGCAACTTCCTCACATGTCTATACAGATGAAAATGCTTCTAATAAGTCCCAGCAGTTTTTTACCTCACTGTTTACTGCATTTATTAACAAAGGTCTATGCTTAAACCTCAGCTTCCCTGGTTACCTTGGAAGATGATAAATAATTTATTTGCCTTAGCAATCCTACTTTTGGGAATCAATCCTATAGGAATAAAAGCACTGATATAAAAACATATTATAAAATTGTTTGTAACAGCAAACCTCAATTAGGTTACAGCTACACTACTGAATATTATATAGCTATTAAAAATTTTAGACATGCAGCTGGACTCTTACCTGACACCATGTACAAAAATTAACTCAGAATGGACCAAGGCCCTTAATGTAAGACCTATACCTATAAAACCTTGAATAAAACATAGGGGGAAGGCTCTATGACATTTGATTGGCAATATTTTCTTGAATGTGAAACCAAAAGAGAAAAACCAGGTAAATTGAATGATACCAGAATTAAAAGTTTCTGTGCATCAAAGGAAACAATCAACAGAGTGAAAAGCTGACCCACAGGATGGGAGAAAATATTTGCAAATCATATATTTGACATGGCGTTGATATCCAGAATATATAAAAAACTCCTACAACTCAACAACAAGAACCAAACAACCAAATTTAAAAATGGTCAAAGGACTTGAATAGATATTTCTCTTAAGAAAATTAAAAATAAAATTACCAGAGACCCCAGCAACTCTACCTTTGGGAATACACTGGAAGAACTGAAAGTGAGACTTGAACAGATATTTGTACATCTATGTTCACAGCAGCACTGCTCCCCATAGCCAAAAAGCAGAAGCAACCCAAGCAGCCATCAATGCATGAATGGATAACAACATGTGGTATATACACACAATGGAATATTATACAGCCTTAAAAAGGAAGAAATTCTGACACATGCTACAAAACATGAATGAACCTTGAAAACATTATGCTAAGTGAAATAAGTCAGTCACAAAAGGGCAAATAGTACATAATTCCACTAATATAAGGTACGTAGAGGAGTCAAATCCACAGACACAGAAAGTAGAATGGTGGTTGCCAGGGGCTTGGGGAGAGTACAATGGGAAGTTACAGTTTAATGGAGACAGAGTGTCAGTTTTGCTAGATGAAAAGACTCCTATGGATGAATGGTGGTGATGATACAACAATGTGAGTGTGTTAATGCCACTGAACTGTACACTTAAAAGTAGTTAAGATGGTAAATGTTATGTTTTGTGTATTTTACCATGACTTAAAAATATATTTAAAAAATTTAGATCTATTTATTGATCTGTAGTCATTGACATATTATCAAATTAAAAAAAGTAAAAGGCAGGTGATACATAAAGGCAGTATAACCTCATTTCTCAACCTAAACCAGAAATCCTCAGCGCACACGTTTGCGTGTCTGTGTTGGCACCATGAGGAGCAGTAGGGAAGGAAAATTACACACAGTGCCTGAAGGAACAGGGAGAGGCTATCCTCACCATCTTCCTCAAATACCTGGGTATTATGAAAATCATTCCAGTGCACGTTTTAATTTTTACAATTGAAAAAAGTAGAAAGACAACACATACCCATTCCTGCTGCTATGACTGGTACAGGTAGATCATAGTTGTACAAAAGGAAAGACAACATCAGAAAGTCGATGTAACTTCGATGACTAGGCAGCAGGACAACTGGATGCTCCTGGATGGCTCGTTGTAGCTTTAAAATAAAGAAATGCAATGTTTTCAGCCCTGAGTGGGCAGCTCAGTTAGTTAAAGTGTCGTCCCAATACACCAAAGTTGAGGGTTCAACCCCCGGTCACGGCACATACAAGAAGCAACCAGTGAATGCAAAAATAAGTGGAACAACCAACTGATGTTTCTCTCTCTCTCTCTCTCAAAGTCGATAAATAAAAAAGAAAAAGAAAAAATTTAAAAAAGAAATGTAACATTTTTAATAATTTCAGTTTTCATATTATCAAAATCATATCTCAAATCAGAACACGGAAGAATATGTGTAGGTACAGAGGGAATACTAATACTGTGTTTCTGCCTCCCCTACTACACACACAACACTTTTCCAGACTTCTAATGCAAGAACATTAAAAATGTAAATTTTTATGGATAAGAATAACAGCGGTGACCACTAACATATATTAGTCGGGCAGCATATTAAGCACTTCATGTAGTAATCATTCTACACACATTGTTTAATACCACATCTGTGAATAGCCTTAGCTTCCTTGCTTGTGACACGGTTATGCATCTAATAAACGGCGGAGCTGGGAACAGAACTGAATTAAAGTCAGAATTAAAATCAGCAGTGAACTGCTACTCCACACTAGTTGTCCACAATAAGAGAGAATAAATCTCTCTCAGGGAGATTAAAAACATCTATGGACTTTTAGGACACACGAGAGGAACGACATTGCCAGGGACAATGGGTGCCCTGTAGCTGGGAGGCATGCATTTGAGCTTCCAGATGTGTTCCTGAGCCTGTCAACCTCAGCAGTGCTCAGTGGTATCAATGTATTATCTGTTTTTCTGAACTCTCAGCATGACTAACTGAGGGAAGGTAGTTTGTAATCCTTAAGGACAGGGTTAGCCAACATGTCCTGGCCCCAGACACAGTGCCAAACATCCTTCGGCAAAGATCTAGAGAGCAAGCGAGCAATCCAAAGACAGTCACAGAAAGAAAAAGTTGAGTAAAAATAATGTTCCTCAAGCAGCCAATGGTGTTTCTCTCTTTCATCAATATTTCTTTCTCCCTCTCCCTTCCTCTCTCTCTCTCTCAAACCAATAAAAACATATTTACAAAAAAAAAATAATAATCTTCATAGGAAAGCTTTTCCTTATAGGATAAAGCAAACTATTAAATAATAGAAATGATAGAATTAGAAAAAACATTTGGCAACATAGTAATAACTGATTTGGGCAAAAATCATCCATGAATGTAAAAATGAGTGAAGGAAATTATGATGAAAAACAGAACACAATCATTCTCAAAGTGCCTCTCCACAAGATACTTATTACAAAGGGAAAAACAGTAACTCTACGTTGGAGTAACCTGGCAAATACCAAACACCGCCTTAACCAACTGATATGAGTGAACATCACCTGTGAAGGGACCAACAGACACCATGTCTCCTGGCCTGATGCACTGAGGATACAACATTGCCTCTGAGGTCTGCCTGCCAAAGCGCACAACCTGAGTCTAATACCGAGAAAACACCACTCGAACTCAAACCTGTTCTCTTCAAAAATACTATCATGAAACGCAAAGACTAAGGCATCGTTCCAGATTAAACTACAGTGACACGGTAGTGGAAGGTAACAACAAATGCCCTAGGATTTTCTTCTGATGGACAAGATATAAATGGGACAGTTGGTGAAATGTGAGTACAAGGTTGTATCAATAGTATTTTAGCAACATTATTTTGCTTATTCTGATAATTGCACCATAAAAGAATGTCCCTGTTCATAGGAAACACACACCACAATAATGGGGAAAGGACAAAAGGAGCGGGAATCAGGTGAAGCATATGCAGCAATTACTTGTATTACTTCCGTAACTTGCAAACATCTGACATTAGCTTCGTCTGTAAGTCTTCCCTAAGTCAGTCAGTCTGAAGTCTGCAGATCTGAAGGTCAAAGAAGGAAACATTACCCTCCAGAGCACAGAGCCTCTTCTGCCAGACAGATGTCTGAGGATAGGCCTGCCCATTCAGCGCAGGGTGAGAAGATTTGGAGTTGACCAAATAGCGAGGGGTTGAAGAGATCGTTTTTTAACAAGCAATACTCACTTTCTGAATACCTTCTTCATTTACACACACTTTTGAGTAAATTTGTTTAAATATTTTGCTCAGGGCAAAGGCAAAAAACCGGATGGCTCCCAGACGCAGCTTGTGGCTCATTTCATCCAAGATCTGACAAGCTTGCTCTCGGAGGACATCCACGGACTGGAGGGATTCCTTGGAAAGCTACAAGGAAAGAGAAAGCGGGGATACACTTCTGTAAAAAGAAGCCAGAGCTCTATTTACTCAAATCAGTTCCAAAGGACAAGTTCCAAATGGGCCAATATTGTGGAACTCAAAAATGGTATGTTTTCTCCTTAATTTAAATGGAAATAGTTTATTTTCCAACAAAACAAAAGTAGATAAATGACCCTATTCAGACAAGTTTAAAGACTAGAAATTCAAAGAGAATCGGCTTTAATCAGCTTTGCAGAATAGCATTTCAGACCTAGGAGCACATCTCACCTCTCCATTAGATGTGTTAATAAGCTCACACCCCAGGAGCCAATGCCCTAGAACACACTTAGTGGAACCTTTCAGCAGACTGCTGCAGCGCTCCATCTGCTTGCTCGATGCCGTTACAAGGTAACATACAAGGTAAAAACACAAGACTACACTGAAATGCCATTCACACTACATTAGATATATAGGAACCTGGTACAAAACCCCCAAACTACCAGAGGATAATTAGTGAGCTCGACGATCTCACAGGAAACTCTCTTCACTCGTAAAGCAAACCAATCTTTTGATAAAGAGAACAAAATATTGGCTGTGTGCTAGGACTGCCCAGGGCCTGGAGATGAACAAGTCCACAGTTTCTGCCCTCAAGGAAGCCAAATTTAATCCTTTTAACTCCCCCCAAACAAGCACTCTGAAAAGGAGTGAAGCCTGTGTGTTATATAGTATTTATCCAGAATGCTCTGCTTTCCTGTACCCCTTTATTTTTCTCTGAAAGATGATGCAGCAAGAAAGGGTTAGTAACACAGTCAGAAGAGAGCCCAGCTGAACATAAATAGACTGAAGAGGTGATGCACAGGAGGCTGGGGAGTAAAGGCAGTGGCCACAGAAAGAACAGCTGAAAAGTCTGAGTGAGAAGGAGACGGAGGCCAACAGTTGAAGCAAAAATGCTCTCCCAAGTTGGAAAGCCTTGGGCTTGTTTTATAATCATCCCAGTTAAAAAAAATTATGATAAAAAATATACATAATATACAATTTTCCATTTTAATCATTTTAAAGTGTACAGTTTAGTGGCCTTGGACCTGTTTATAGACTAAAGGGAAGGAATTGATTGAGAAAGAAAGGCTGTAGAGAGGGCAGGGAGAGGAGGTTGTTGGAGGTCTGTCCTAAACAGGATTCCCTTCTCTCCCACATGCTTCCCTCCCTCTTCCAAGTTCCCCAGCTCAGTGAATGGCTGTATCATCCCTGCCTCTACCCTTCACTTAATAATGTCTACTTTACTTCACAAATTTCTTTTATGCTGTTGTTGTTTACAAAGCCTTTATACATTTTTGATCAGGGAAAGGACAATCTCAATGTCAACTTGTCCCCTAGTTATAAACTTGAGCTTACAGGAGTCACTGCCCTAAAGACACTGCCCCTACTGACTTTGATGACGTAAGTTAAAATGAAAACCTCCCTTCTCTTCCCTAGGCTTGTATGTTTAAAGAATAAACAGAATCCCTTGAAATAGCCAGCCCTGTACTTGGCCTTGGTGTAAGATCAAGATAGGGAAACAGGAGCAAAACAAAGCCAAGAGCACTGTAACCTGGTAGCCCAGCAAGTACAAACGTCACTGGAACAAAGCAGCAGGCACCAAATAAAAAACAGTTGGTTCATCAGCATAAAAAGTTTATACTTTAAGGTGCGCTCAACTCTTCCACATGTGGACATGTGCCAATCCTGGTGGCCAACAAGGAACCATAAAAACGAAGCTTAAAAAACCTTAAATCCAGTAACTACAATTAATGTAAAATTCAAAGCCTGGATTTACCCAGAAAATCCTCCAAAATCTAGAGCTAAAACCACTTCCTTTTAATACACTAGGAAGTCTGTTGTAAAGACACGACCTGGTCACATTCAGATTTGCATTAACCTGACTTACAGCATACCAATTCCCACTACTCCTTCCATGTCGGCTCATGCATTATCTGTATTAAAAAACGAAACAACATGCCCGGCCGAGCGTGGCTCAGCAGTTGAGTGTCGACCTAGGATCCAGGCAATCAGGGTTCGGTTCCCGGTCAGGGCACGTGCCCAGGTTGCAGGCTGCAGCGGATCAATGACTCTCTCATTATTGATGTTTCTCTCTCTCTCTCTCCCTTCCTCTCTCTGAAATCAATAAAGATATATTTAAAAACAAAACAAACACAAAAAAACCCTGAAACAACAACAGAATAGAGCTCATTTACTCAGCCACTAAGTAAAGGGCTGGGCAACTTTGATTTCCCACTCCCGAGAACCAATCTGATGATGCCTGCTTTATTCTAACCATTTCCTCACTGGCTCCTCATCTGTACAGGTGATAAAACAAAAACCTCTTCTTTCATTAGCTTTTGTATCCAAGGAAAATTCAGTACTTTCAATCTCTCCAAAAGCTCTAAAATATTCTTTAAGTTGTTCTTCAGAAGTATCTGGGCTCAATCCACCCACAAAGACCCTTTTGGGGGGTGGTTCTTTCCCTTTTAAAGCTTTGGCCTCTTTGGGGCCTTATCAACACTACCAGCATCTTTTTTAAAAAAAAAAATGTATTGATTGATTTTAGAGAGAGAAGGAGGGAGGGAAAGGAAGGGAAAGAGAGAAACATCGATTTGTTGCTCCACTTATTTATGCATCATTGGTTGATTCTTGTATGTGCCCTGACAGGAAATCGAACCTGCAACCTTGGCGTATCAGGACGATGCTCTAAGCAACTGAACTACCCAGCCAGGGCAGCAGCCGCTCTGAAAAGCACAAATCCAAATCCTTTTGATCTTCTGGTGACTGGGTCCGTTTTAATTGGCAGTCTACAGCTTGCCCAAATTGAGACAAATATTCAATCAGATCTTTCTTGCCTGCATCTCAGCTCAAGCCTCCAGTAAACATTTTTACATCATCCTGCTGACTCCTGTTTGCGTTGACCTTGGGTCCCTCTGCGAATTACTCTCTGCTGCTGTACTCCATGGTGGTGGAGCTGTCCTCCGGGCGTGCCGGCAGGTGCTGGCGCACAGTTCAAGTCTCAACACCAGTGCGGCTCAAATTTCTTAAATCTGTCCATTTCCGTTTCTACAGCCACTTAACAGTTCTCGAACTATGATCCCACAAAAGGATTATTGCAAGAGCATCATAAGCAGATTTCTTATCTCCATTTTTAGCAAAATGTGTTTCTAAAACAAGTGAATCACACCAACTCCAACTTGGAATCTCTCGATGGCTTTGCACAAAATCTAATTCCTCTAGGTGGTCTCAAAGCCCCTCATGGCAAAGGCCCTGTGTACCTCTCCAGCCTCAGTTCTTACCATCATCCCTTCTTTGCTTCTTGGTCTGGTCATGTTAAACTACTTTCAGTGCTGCAACTATGCATATTCTCTAGTCCTTAAAATAAGCCGGTGGTTCCCAAACTGCCATACTTTGGAATCGACTGGGCTTCTTGAAACTACTGATGCCTGGCTTCCTCCTTGAAATTCTGATGTAACTGGTATGGGGTGAGATCGCTGCACAGGGATTTTTCAAAGCTCTGGAGTCATTTTAATGTGTAGTGAGGTTTGAAAACCACAGGGAAAGTTATTTGCTCTGCTAGAAATACTTTTTCATCCATTTCACCCGGAAAACTCCTAATCCTCTTTCAGGCCTCATTTAAAAAAATCCATCTCTAACTCCCTACACAAAATTAGCTTCCCCTCTAACTAGTGGCCCCGTACAGTGGGCTCCCACTAGCATGTCTTGTATCGTAGTTGAACATACAACTGTCTTCATTCCTTATCAGACTATACACTTAAGAGGATTAGCAGAGAGGCTAACACACATTGTGGCTATGATAAACGTTTGATGAGTGTGCTGAATATAACTAAACCTAAAAAGAAACATTCAAGATAGCAAAATAAGTTCACAGAATCGAGAAGAGAAGGAACTTGACAATGAGCAAATGTGGCTGTGGTTGAAGAGGGAATCACTTACCTGTTTAATGACATAGTAAATCTCTTCAGAATTGAGAACACTACTTTTAATATCACCTGGCTTGCATGGAATAATTCCCTTATACAGAAGAGGTGTGTAGCATTTCATCGCAAACTTCAAGTCACTGACATGCCTCCTTTCCTCTAAAATATCTTCAAACTCATCCCACTTTTTGAGCTCCTTCTGTGGACAAGGCAAATGAAAGAAAGTAATACATATACTGTAAAATAAATTAGGACAGGTTACGGACTATACTTGTAAAGCTTTATTTTTCCCAAAATTTTTATTCTGTGACATATGAACAAAAGCAGAGTGATCTGTTGTTAGATTTTCATATACCAAGAAAAAAATGTAATTAGGATAAAAAAATTGATATTGAATTATCATAATGTTTTGTTTTTATATTTCTGACTGCTATCTTTGTAAAGCCAGGATCCCTTTGGGAAAGTTAACAAAGATAGCAAAGATGAGACATTAAGCTGTAGAACAATCTGATCAATTTTACAAGGTTTCATCAATCACATCGATAAACTTGCTTTGTCTGCTTCTTCCACTTAGCTTTAAAAATGAAATCAAAGCATACGTTAGAAACTCAAAATTATGTCAAATCAAATAAAATGACATAGGTGCAAGTAAAAGGAAGATTTACTCAGGAAAAAAGTGTTACCACATAAGCTGTTGTCAAGCAGTCTGTATTTGCTGTGATTATTTTATCTCCTTTCAACCCATTGAAAATCAGCTTCTAGTCACCCGCTTCTGAAAGTGCTGTTCATGAGGCTACCAATGACTTCTGGACTGTTAATTCTTAAGTTTGTTTTTTTATTATAAAAGTCATAGTAGTAATAATAATAATTATAGGTAACATGCATAGTTGCTTACTAAAGTCAGGCACTATTCTAAGAACTTATCCATGAAGCAACAATTCTATTTTAAAACATATCTTTTAAAAAGGAGCAATTCTCACAACAAACCTGTGAAAGCTATGAAGTAGTTTTTCTCACTGCCCCATTTAACTATGGGGAGACCAAGGCACAGAGAAATGAAATAACTCACTAGAGGTTCCACAGCCATTCATTCATTGCCATTATAAAAAAGTGCAATGACTATTATTATTTCTTTTGAATTTAATCATTGAACCCTGGCCTCTGTTTAGTTAGCTCCTGGACCTCTCTACAGCGCGACACCTTCTCAAGTGCCTCCTCCTGTCCCGGCCTCCCACCACCCTGAAATTCTCCTACTTTGGTTTTTAATTCAAGACTCGTAGCAGTAGAAAATCTAGCTCATTTCTCTAATCCAGGGTTCCCAACCTGGGGGAAAATTTCCCCCCAAAACTACACCTATGTCTTCTTTCTTCCCACTCCCTTTAATATGTTAACATCTCCAAACCTCTTCTTCATTCCTCACATGTATTGAGTACTCTAACTTATCAACTGGTTTAAAATACTAATTTGCTATGCTTCGAATCTTGTCCTGGTCTCTTCCCCTATCTGAGCTCCTCACATACATATTTAGTTACAAACTTCACACTCGGCCTTTCCAAAACTGAACTCAGTTCTCCTTTGCACAATCCTACCACCTGATTATTTTCCTGAAATCGTAATCAACAACTACATGGCATTTGTATCATTCTAGACCCCTCCTCCCCAACCCCTTAACCTTTTGCAAATCCAGTCCACCCAATCCTATGAACGTGGCCTTTAAGAACATATCACAGTACATTGATGTAAATACCACAGCAGCCTCCTCACTCGTCTCCTTGCCTGTTTTGCCCCCTCCATGCTGCTAGGTACTCTTTTGAACACAATTCTGACCAAATTGTTCCTAAAATACTTAAATGACTTCCCAACTCTTTCCGAATAAGACCTGAACCACTTCTGGTGTCATCTGAGAACCCACCATGCCTCATGGTCCACTGAACAGCGAGTGATTTGTATTCGCCCAACACAGTTCATTATTGACATGCTTCTGGGCCTTTGCACAGCCTCATCTCTCTGGCTGGAATGCCCTGTTTCTTTGTCATCCTTGCTGTAGGTGTTACTCTTTGGTGAACACTCTCCTTGAGTTCCCTGGATTGGATTACTCTGCCTTACTCATTAGGCCTTCTTTACCTACTATGTATATCTACTGTGGTGTGCATCCCATAACACTGTAATGGTCTGCATGTCTGTCTTCCCACTACGGTGCAATTATCTTGAGGACAGGAGAGTTTGTGTTCTCCTTGTATTTCCAACATTGAGCCATGTTTGGAATGTGCATATTTCATCAATAAAAAATGTTTTGGTAATAGAAAAGAAATAAAGAATGTTAAACTGAGACCAGGATTAGGCATAACAAGAGTATAAATAGAAGCAAAAAGCACTCATGAGTTTTTATAAAAGAGTAGCATATAAAAGATGCAAACTTGAACATTTTAGTGCCCACATATATAAATACAGAGAATATATGAGAGAAAAATCTTACTGCTGGAGTTCTGGTGTAAAACTGCAGTCATAACATATCACATACTCTTGTTTTTAAGGCTGGGGAACCTTCTCAAATTTCACATTTCTCATTAATAAAGTAATATAGAGTTATACAGACTCAGACTTCGTAGAATGCAACAAACTACCATTATAAGTTACATATTTATAGGGATAAAAGGGATCTTAGAGACTTCCCATTTAGTGATCCTGGGGGTGGGAAGAGAAAGGATCAGAATCAGCTGGGGATATCTATGTATTGATCTACCTACTGACCTATCTATTTATCTATATATAGAAAGAGGAGAGAGGAAGGGTGAAAGGCAGTGAAGGAGAGAGGGAGTCCTCAGACAAGAACCCATAAAAGAGAAGAGTAGGCATGCATATTTTGAAAAGCATGCCAAATATCTACAATCTTTCCATTGTTCTCTGTTACCTGCAGGATAAAGTCCACACTTCTTAGCACAGGACCCCAGCCCTGCCCCGCATTCCCCTTTTCCCAAGAGTCCACCTATACAAAGACCTGTAGCTGCCTAAACAAGCTGTGATATCTCATGGCTCCCCACATCTTAGTTCAAGTTGCTACCTCTAAGAATAACTCATTGTCCAATATCTGAGCACCTATTACATGCTTGGCATTGTGGTACATGGGGTTAGAGTGCTGATGAAGACAGACTTGGGGTCTCTTTTATGAGTAACCAGGTGCATGGTGGTACCAGTTAGGAGACAGGGCATTTATAAATGGCGCTCCCCTGCTGTTCATCTGGATAAACTTAGCCGTCAACCACAGTTCCCATTCACCTCCTCTGTGTATCGTTTTCCAAGTCTTGCCTAAACTAGACTGAACTGGTCTTCTCCTTTGAGTTTTTACTGAACCTTCAATACATTTTCATGACAGCATCTGAAATAGTCATTAAACTTATATTTGGTGTCTCCCATACAAGACTGTGAACTTCTTGTCTGGGTAGGTTATGTGTCTTACACATTTTTGTATTCCCAGTTCCTTGTGAGAACTCCATCATTGTAGAAAGAAAAGATAAATGACTGAGTGAAGCCACTTTTAAACCCTGTTGATGACAACAAACTTCTGCCCATCTGGTCCTAACCTAATGCCTAACCCAGTGGGTTTTAATACAGGTTGCACATTAAAATAACCTGGGACACTTAAAAAATACTGATGCCCAGGCCTGCTCGAGATTCTTGATGAATTTGGTCTGTGAATGGTACCTGGTCATCAGAATTATTTTTCAAAGTATTCCAAGTGATTCCTACACACAAGTTGATTATGCTGGAGAAGTATTTACCATCATAAAATAAATATATTTACACAGCTACTCACCCAGGAGCACAATACAGAGGAGCCCACGTAGGAAGACTTGGGTGAAGTCTTTTCCTCCCACTGTTTGTTGTCCCAGTCTTAATTACCTCATACAGGCCTCTCCTCATTCATAGCTAAACAGGCTCTCCCTGTTCTTCTCTTTCCAGTACTATGGAGGATACATCCACCCACCAGACAATGCCTAAGAGTCCACAACGTACCAGGTACTGTCCTATAGGCTGAGAATACAGCATTAATAGACAGACAGAGGATATGCACTGAGGGAGCTTACATTCCCTAAGGAAAGACAGACAACAAAGAAACAAGGTGGTTCACTTGGGGATCCACCACCAGTGGCATGCTGGCAAATGCCTGACTATGGGAGAGCCCTGATTTATAGCATTTGCCAGTTTCTGTGGTTCATATGTATACTCCCACCACGGCAGATTTCAAGCTGTACAACCAGACTGAACACGGAGATGGGGCAAGATGTGCAAAGGCCACCATTATATAGGCTTTCCACCTAACATTTATTTCCAGTAAATAGACATATATAACCTCAAAAGCATAGATAGTAAAAGTTAGTAAAATAATTAGGAAGTGCTGAGTTTTGAGTATATATTACTTTTACTTTTAACAGAATCTATTTAATTATAAAGTTATATCTTAATCTTTAACTTTTTTTAATCTTCACCTGAGGATATGTTTATTGATTGTTAGAGAGAAGAAGGGGAGCAGGGGGAGATCGATCAATTGCCTCCCGTAAGTGTCCTGACAGGGGATCTAACCCTCAACTCAGGCAGGCACCCTGACCAGGAATCAAACCCACAACCCTTCTGGTGCATGGGACGATGCTCCAACCCACTGACCCACCTGGCCAGGGCTCAAATTTAATTTTTAATAATGGCTGTGTTTTAACAATAGGCTCACAAACTTCATGAACGTTTAACTGATCAGCTTTGACAGTAAGTACAAGACGAGTGTAGCCAACACTGGAAAGAGAATACTGCAGCGACAATGAGGCAGAGAAACTAATGAGAGTGAGTGAGTGGAGCGCTACTTTAGACTGAATGGCTGGGTAAGCCGTCTCTAGGGAGGTGATGTTTGTGCTGGGACCTCAACAATAAAAAGAGCCAGCAAGGCTGGGGAAACAGCATGCTGCACAGAGGGGACCACGAACACTCTGAGGAGAGAACATGTGAGAAACACAGAGCCAGTGTGGCTGAAGCCCAGTGAACAAGATCAGTTAACTCAGAGGCAGCACTCGCCCGATTATAGCGTCTTGCAGCATGTTGTATAGAGTCAAGATTTTCATTCAGACTATAACAGGAAGCCGTAGTTTGGCTGAGGGGTACACCAGCGACTACTCACTCCAGCCTTCTTCCCATCCTGTGGTCTCACTGAAAGATTTCAAGCAAACCAGTGGCTTCAGATACAACCTACTTGCTGATGACTGCCAAATCTACCTATATGGACCAGACCTTCCTCATTTGCTCTGCTACCATATTTCTAACTCTATTTGAGTGTCTTCCAAGCCCCTTGTGATGTATCTGGTCCACAACATAATAATCCACAAGTTAAAAATCATTAACTTTGCCTCTCACATCTCAAACTAAGCACAACCCCAATCATTGCCCTGACTGAACCTGCTTCTCCCCAGCGTTTCCTATCTGGGAAAGGCATCACCATCCGCCCAGTTGCCAAATCCCAGAAGCCAGGAGTCGACTTCAGACTGCCTCCTTTTCCTTAGCCACCACTCAGCTGCTCTAAATGCCCCACAACTCCCTTCTCCCCAGACTCACTGCCAATGCCTACTTCAGGCTGTCTTCCCTTCCCTGGACTACTGCAAAGGTGTCCTGATCCATCTCCAGGATCATGGCATCAAATTTCCTCCCCAGCCAGGCTCTCTTTCTACAGTCTCTACTTAAGTAAAGTAAGAGAGGTTATTCGTACAGATAATCATGCCAGAAAGCAAGCAGTTCTCTTAGACCTTCAATGTACAAATGTGATCATCCTTAAATGGTGCCCTATAAAGTTAAGATTTTATCCTTAAGGGTGAGTAAACCTGATATATAAAATTCCTTTAGGAAATATAATCTGCCTACTTCCTTAGTTTCGTTTCTCATGTCCCCTCTATTCTACCTTTACCTAAATACTTGGTTCCCCCAAACATGCAAGGGAGTAGTTTTCTTCCATCAGCAGTCTTCCTCTCCCTCATCTCCCATTTACATCTCAAAAGCTCAGCTCAGGTGTTACACCCTCTCCTGGAGTCCCCAAACAGGTCGGGTGCTCCTTCTCAGTACTCCCACAATATACTGTGCATGCTTCAGCCACTGCCCTTACTCAACTTCATGGAATTATTTCTTTACTTTTCTGACTTCCTATGAAGTCCTTAAAGGCAAGGGCTGGATCTTTAACTTCTATATCTCGGACATTGAGAATAATGACTTAAGGACACTCTAGGTACCCACTGCTGCAATGTTTGTTGCAATCAGCAGTATCTTAAGTATCTCAAATACCACTCTCAGATTAGACAGAGCCTTGCACAATCACGGTGTGGCTGAAGAAACAAGGACAGCCTGAAATACTAAGATAAAGTTCAGGTTATTACGAGAGTAAAACTGTGTAGTCACAAGAAGTGCGCAGCGTCAGGTGAGAGCAAGCTCCTGTACAACTGCCTTAGTCTTTCACATGAAAAGCTGACACAGGTCTCAGCAGAAAAGAGCCACTGGCGAATGGGGGAGTAAAATGTCCACTCTTTCCTTCCATACACGTATAGAAAACTGTACTCAGTTCACAAACCAGGTCGGGGCTGAAAAAGCAGCCTATGGCACGCCAGAGCCACACAGCACCCCTCTTTCCTACACTCTTTGCATACTCCCTTTGGAGTAGCGGCGTTAGAGGTAAAAATATTTCCACCACAGAGCTGCTGGATGAGAAGGAAGCCACGGGGAGAGAGGTTCAAGTGATAAGCCTTAGAGAAGCAGATAGACAGTTAACAGCATTTAGGAGCTCCTAGCCCTGGCAGGTGTGCGCAGTGGTTAGAGCCCGTGGGAGGAACCAACCAATCCCCCCCTCCCCAGCTCTCTAAAATTATCCTCGGGTGAAGATGAACAACAACAGAAAAGGAGCTCCAGGATGCCACAAAATGTAAATTTCCTCGCGTTCCAAAGAATACCGGTGTCCCAGTTTGAAGGTAGGCGCATACACACATTCTCTTTTGAAACCTTTTTTTTTTTTTTTTTTAAATCGTCCCCTTTCCCTGTATTGACTTTCCCACACAAATTAACGTTAATGTTTAAGTCAGAAAGTCACACTAACTGCTAGGACGTGCGCGGTTACATACCTTTAAATGCATTCTTTGATTTCCTCTTAAAGTAGATAAAAATTAATGTAGTTTAAAAAAAAAAAAATCAGTTACCCCAGGATTGTGCAATCCTGAGAGCTACGAGGATTGAAAATTGTGAGTGACCAAGAAAACGTTTGGCTGGCATAAAAAAAACAAAAAAAACCCAAAACGGGTTAAGATCAGAGAGCGAGGGGAGGCGGCGGGGGGAGAAGAGGCAAGTTGGAGAGAGGCTGGGAGGATTAGCTGTCTCCCAAAATGACCTGGGGGGGGAATACAATGACAGATAGAGGACAAAGACAGGCAATAAAAGTTTCCAGAAGTTCAAGTCTTCCTAGATTAAAGAGAGACTGAAGCCGTTAAGGGCTCTCTGCCCACAGAGGAGCCAAACACTTTCCTGCCGGGAATGCGGTCGGCCCGAGAGACGGCCCGTCCCGCCCTCGCGGAGACGGAGCCTCCGGTTCCCGCGCCCGGGGCCGGGCCGGCGGGAGCTTCCCGAGGCCCTGCGCCCAGGGGACGGAAAGAGAAGGGACGAGTGGAAAGGAAGCGGAGGAACCACCGCCGCCCGAAACTTGAACAAGCTCACGCTCGGTGACACAGGGATGCAGCGTTGCCTTGGAAACCGAGCCGGCCGCCCAGCCCCTCCTCCGGGAAGTCGAGACCCGCGGTCCCGGGCACGGGGTCGCGGCCGGGAGGGAGACGGGACATGGAGGAGGGAGGGTCCTCTCTCGGGCCCGCCCCGGGCCTCGCTTCCCTGGGCGCCTACCGAGTAAAGGAGCACGACGGAGCCGGGACTGGCGGAGCTGACGGAAAGCCAGGACTTAGATGAACTGGAAGAATCCATGGTGCGGCTGCCGTCCCGGGCGGGGCCTGGGATGCTTCGCTAGGCGGAGGTGGTGTGGCGGCTGGGGGCGGTTCTTCCGCGCGGGGCGGCCCGACCTCGCCGAGGGCGGTGGCACCCTCCGCGACCGCTCTTCGGGACCCCGGGCGCCGCCATCT